TCAATTAGTCTATCACTAGAGAAACAATCAAGTGGGCCAAAGAAGTTGTACCGTACCTTCAGATTTCTGTCCTCTTCAAATGCATCTTTTTATTTACAAAATTTTAAATCAAAACCAAAATGCAAAATTAAAAATATTTTTACGTGAGTTTAGGAGGATATGGATCGCTGAAAAGCATACTGCAATAGAGCTCAGTTCAGGTAATGCTCAATCCCCAGTGACAGAACCAAAGCCACAGCAGCCCCCCCCCCAAAAAAAAAAACAACCCACAAGGACTATCAGAGGACTTCAACAAACATAAACTGGAAAGAACAGTTGCAGCTGGTCAAAGAAATAAGAAATATCTAATAAGGCAGTGTAGGGTTTGTGCTGCACATGAGAAAAATTGGAAATATGATACATGTGAAACTTCTGCCATGTTCCAAAAAATTAAGGGTCTTGCTTTAAGAGATTCCATTCTGTGAACACTTCTGAACTCCCAACATGCAGTACTCATACAGTTCAACTCCTAAGCATCATCTGTAACAGCTGAAAGTAAGCACATTTGCTACCTGCCTCAGAGACTTAAATGTATCAGCCTCAAGTCAAAACATACAATGCACTAGAAGGTATATGACTTCTGACTTCAAACAAGTTTTCTGGTATGCATCAATTGTTCACTGGTATGAATATTGTGACGTATTGAGCTATTGATATGCAATTCCCACAACACACATGCAGCCAGCAACACAGGAGCAGTGTTTTGTGTGGTCAATGCATGGACCATTGCCATGCAACACATGCTAAACACATTCTCGCATATGCAGTGACATCACACAACAACAGAGAGCCTGTGCTTTCTGCTGTGGTACATGCAGACTTTTTATAAAGGACAACAGAAGAGGTGTTTTCTATGTGGTCTGCACCATGCCCAGTGGTGGTAACAGACCAATGAACATGCAGTCTGACAAGTGACATGTGTTTTCTGTTTAGTTGATGCTGAATCTATATAACAAGAGCCTGTAGCTATGAGTGGATCAGGGAATTGATTAGAGAATTGGAATTGGAAGTTCAGGAGAGAATTGTTGAAGAAGAATTAGGAGTCAGCCTGTGAAGACTTAGTGAGTGATTAGAGATTTAGTCACAGTAAGACTGTTTTAATTCTGTTAGCAGAACATGAATAGTGAAGACCGAGAATCCTAGTGCATGTGTAACAACGAACTGTAAATTGTGAAAATTTGAGATATCTCTGTATTGCTTGTAAATATGAGTAGATTGTATAAGGTGTTACTAAATCTATTCACCAATCCAAACCCCATCTGCAGTCATTAATACATGTGACAATATAGACTGAAAAGTTGCTCATAATATTGTAATTCTATTACAGTGAATAGAACTCATGCACCTACATATGCATTAATGCATAAAAACACACATTAGATTGAATTTTTGTCAATTTTAAGAACTGTTTCAAAGCTTTTCAAACTATAGTTACTGTGGCTATTCTTACCATTGTGTTCCTCTTCATCTTGCATTATGTTAATGACCTCCCCATCTGGAACATCCTTGCCGGCATGTCCTGAATCCTGGTTAAAAGTCTTGGGGTATGTGGAAGAAAGTCCACCTACACTGCCTGCATCCTTTCCAATAATCTTACCTGCAATCATACAGTAAATTTGATGACTCACTTGATAACTTATTTATTTTCGTTAATTTAGAGGTTAAATAGTACTGTGAAAACACATAAAAGTTTCCATACATATAAATATAACTTTAAATAACTGTTTTCCATTAAAAACACGTAGAAATAAAAAAAATAAAAGCAATTTTAGTTTACCTCAAAAGCTAAAACCACAAAAAAAGACTGTGGATATAAACACTACAAACTTTATATCAGTTGCAACTAATTAGATTTTAAATCCCTTTTGAATAGTAATAATTCTGTGACGTATGGCTACTCCCTTGATAGACTGCACTAGAGAAGAAAAATTATCTCTGATAAGATTTTTGTGGTATGAACGTGTAGAAACTAGAAAAATGGGTGAAGAAACGATGATTCAATAAGACAGTATCATCCAGATGATAGTTTACAAATGGATGGAAAAGTTCAAGAAAGGCCAAATGCACGATGATGAAACGCATTCTTGGTGACCAACTGTAACCTATTGTCACAATTATGGGTGACTATAGATGGAGTTTGGATTGTAGATTTATTTATTGACCACATACAGGTCATAACTATAAGTAACTACAACACTATCACTAATTTCCACACTTAGCAAATCACTACAGCACATGCTAAGTCTTTTCAGTCTGCTGTCACTAATTACTTCCCAGTAATGGATCTTAACAATGGAGATCCTTCAGCTTTCATGCTCACTTTGTTGCCTGCTGGCTATCCACTGCACTGACTAGGTCTTCTCTTCACAGACTCTCTTACAACTGACTAACTTCTAAACTTGTCCCATTGATAACCCCTGACATGGACAATATAGAAAACACTGTTTATTGTTGTACTCCAATCGTTTCCTGGAAACATGTTTGTTTGTGAAGGTGTTATACTAAGTAGCTGCTGTGTATACTTTCTTCTTTAGAATCTGTTGCCTAGCAGCAGATGTTTTGTTGTGTTTCAAGGTCGTTATCCAGTAACAGTCTGCACGCTAATGTATTTTGAGGTTAAGGAACAGATCAATGAGCATGTTTTGGACAAAAGAAGAGTTAACACTGATGAAACTGCATCTGAAGATATTATCACTCATGGAATCAAATGGCACAAGACTGGCTTAAGGAACAACTAAAACCATTTTATTCTGATAAAATCAGGAAACTCTGATGTTCAGCTAACTTTGCAGTAACTGTTTACTGTATCATTGGTACATAAAAAAATGGTTATGAAGACTGCTTAATGAATATAAGTTAAGGGGTTTAACTGGATGCATGGACAGAGAAGGGCCACCAAAGGAGATAGCACAGGATTCTTATCATATTCTGTAGTACATGAGGCCAAGGGGGTTGACTTTTTTCTGGAATTCGACAGTTCCTGTAAAACAAACCCTGTACATGTAGGGATGCTGTACATAAACAGATGTTATGAGAATTAAACCGTGTACACATGAAATATACAAACCAAAATGCATATAAATGAGTATCCCAGTTTATAGGCCATTCTGACTTAAGATTACATTCATAAATTGTATGATTTCGGTTGCCTGTCATTATTGATATCAATGATCAAATACTGGCAGAAAGAAACAACTTGAACAATTTGAAATAATTTATTGAACATAAATTGAGTTAAATATTGATAACATTGTTGGACTCACTTGCAGGGCAAGCTGCATGAACTCCAGTTGCAATACTCTGGTAGAAGTATTTCTCATCACTCCAGCGTGGGGCACCCACAGCTCGACACTTCTGGTTCTGCTTGTCCCATGCACAGTATGGATCTTGTAAGGCAACACACTCACTGAAAATATATTATGGAATTTACTGTGGGAACATCCCACATAACACGCTGTTTCGCCAGTCTAACAGACAACACTCACTCCTAGGTCAATATAACATTGCTGGCGCCGCTCATATTTATACAGCATTCAATGTCCAACCCACCTCTAGATCATCACGTGCGCTAACCAATCACATTGCTGCCAATGCTCGTATTTATACAGCACCTGCTGTCCAGCCCACCTTTACATCATAGCACGCACTATCCAATCAGCGCTCACAATCGCAACTGCAAGTTTTGCCTCACCCATCAAGCATGGTATAAAAGGCAGAGCCAAAAGCTTGCAATCATCAGTGATCACATTCAGTTCAAAGCGATCAGTCATCAGATTCATCAGCTCTTCACTACGACCAAGCAACTGACATAGTTGCCGCAAGTCTCCAGCGACCACGCTCTGCGACCAGGCAACTAACACAGCTGCCGCAACTCCAGCAACCGCGTTTTGCTACCTGCCGCAACACTCCAGCAACCACGCCCTGTGACCAGGCAGCTAACGTAGTTGCCGCAACTCTCCAGCGCATGCACAGTGGAACAAACGGCCTTTTCAAAGTGGTTGTTTATTGGAACATTGACAAGCCCACATTACTAACAATTACATAAAACTAACCTGAGTTCAATTAATGAGTAATTCCAGAAATTCAGTAGATACAGTGTGTGATAGACAGATAGATAGGTTGTCCGAGAGGTTTTTATGTGCAGATAAAGGTGGTTCACTCTGTTATTGTGAATTCAGAACGAATTTAACATTTTCCATTCCACATGTAAGTTATACTTTTGCTTTCAGACTGTTTGTGTTTCATTCTATATCTCCTGCATATGGATAAAAGATGTTTTTCCTCTCATCTCATGACACACTAGGCTAACTGTCTGTAGCATTCTACAACCTGAATTTAAAAGTTACTGCAAAAACATAAAACAAAAGAAAGATTTTCTGTTAAATATCTCAAATTTGTAACATATAACGGTGCTGTTGTACTACCAATATCCTGTGAAATGCATAAGTTTTCATTTGAATTTACTGTGTCTTCCCTGAAAGAAAAATGAATAACATTAGCAATATAAGTGTAGGTGCATAACCTGTGTCAAGAGAAAGATATGATAGATCATTCATTAAAAGTGTACTTATTTACTAGAACCCATGACCTAAATCACAGTCATCATAGGCTGAATCCCTTTTAAATACAAAGGCATGTACTTATCAGACCTTGTATTAATAATACAATCACAATTATTTATGTCAAGTGATTTAATATGCCAAGGATTTGTACTGTAAAATTAAGTAAATTGAGACACAATATGGGTGCAGCTCATGACGGCAAAAGTCAACTAAACAACCAGAAAACTGTATAAACATTAACACAAAACAATCTGTTAGACAGATCTACGTAGCACGTCCACAAAGTAAGTTTCCCACTCGTCCCACAGCTAGCAAACCTTATATTGCGTGAAGCGACTGCGCGTATGTGATAGAGCAATGACGTAGCATGGCGCATGCACTAATGGAATTTCCCGCGTTCCCACTGTAGCATCGTTGCAGCTGTTGAAGATGGAGGCTCTTATTCCAGCTTCCGCCGATTGTGAAGTGCGGTCAGTGAGGTCAGTGATAAAGTTTTTGAATGCACAGAGCATAGCACCGATCAAAATTCATCAGCTGTGCCAGGTCTATGGGCCTAATGTCATGAGCAAGCAGATGGTGCATCGCTGGTGCAGACAATTTTCAGCAGGTCGACAAAGTGTGCATGATGAGAAGCGCAGTGGGCAGCCATCCATCATTACCGACGACCTGGTGGAGCTTGTGCGGGAACGCATTATGGAGAATCGTCACGTCACAATTACGGAACTCAGCAGTCATGTCCCGCAGATTTCCCCTTCCTTGTTGCACGAAATTGTCACAGAGCACCTGTTGTTCAGGAAATTGTGCGCCAGGTGGGTGCCGAAGCAACTGACACCAGAACACAAAACAAAGCGCACGGAGTTACCATTGACATTTCTGCAGTGGTACCATGATGACGGCGATGAGTTTCTAGACCGGATCATCACAGGTGATGAAACGTGGATTGCNGACGGTGAATGCTGAGCGTCACTGTGAAATACTGCAGAAATTGTGATGGGGCCATTCAGAACAACCGGCGCAGGATGCTTAGTGCCAGTATTGTATTCCTGCACGATAACGCTAGGCCGCACATGGCTCGACAGACAGCAAATCTCCTGCAGGAGTTCAGCTGGGAGGTGTTTAATCATCAACCCTACAGCCCGGACCTCGCTCCTAGTGATTTCCATCTTTTCCTACACCTCAAGAAATTCCTGTCCGGTGAGCGTCAGCATTTTGAGAATGACAGAGAGGCGGAGATGGTTGTCACACAGTGGTTCCAATCCCAGGCGGCAGACTTCTGTGACACAGGTATTCAAAAGTTGGTCCCACGGTATGACAAATGTCTCAATTCCAGTGGCGATTATGTTAAGAAATACGAGTATCTGAACACTTGCTGTATCTGTTGCAATAAATATTTCCATGATTTTGTGTTTTGTTTCTGTAAACGGCCCCAGGGAAACTTACTTTGTGGACGAGCCTTGTATTTCTATAGAAACAACTGTCTGATACAGCTGGTGCCTAATTTACTTAATTATACTTCTTCAGCCTCAAATTTATAAAGTATCAAATTAGATGCGAATGGTGAGTAGGTACATTTGGAAACAGGTTGTTATGGACTTCTTGAAGACAATGAAGATGAAGAGATCAAGGATCTTAACCACCAAAAAGAAGAAGAAGAAGAAGAAGAAGAACCTCATTCAGGACAGACGTTAACCCAATCAAGCACTGCACTAGTCACACATTCTTGCCGATGCTGGTGATAACATACCTGCAGGACAGTATCTTGTCGCTGTAGCATCGATGTAAACGCAGAGCTTGCACTTCACCATCAGAAACCACCACTAGGCGACCATCTGGCAAACTTGAATCTCTCACAACCTTCAGATTACGTACAGCTACTTGGGGAGGGAATACCTGGATTTCTTCAATGACCACTGGGCTAACTCGTTCTGTTGTGTCAGCAGAACCAGCATTTACTGCTTTTATTACTTTACCATTATCTACAAAGGGATAATGCCTATTTTAAAGTATTACCAGCAACTCAAGCATAATAACAGCTGAAACATAAAAGACAATTAGGCAACACCATAATGGATTCATACAGATAATACTGTCATATGTGACTTCCACCACATATTCACCAAAAAGATTAGTTCAGATTATGGGACATGACTTTTTAATAGGTTTTACTGTGTTCAATGGGACGATAACTCTCAATAAATTTGTCCGTCCTGTCCGAAGTCCCACTTTCATATAAAAGTGCAGGAAATGGCAATCATTTCATAAAATTTCAGCTCTGTCTCCTTCCTTATTCTGTTTGTCATCCAAAGTTTTCCTTGATACTGATGAATTTATTATGTTATTTATATCATAGTAAGCTTCATTAAAACAACCAGTTACAAAATAGTTCAACTGTGAAACTAGTCCTATAATAAAATTTAAATTATTACCTTCAAGCAGATTTGTTATTTGCCTTTAAAATACAAAACCTTGCATTTGTCAATAATATTTCTATATTAAACTATTCACCAAAGTTTCATCCAATAACAATTTACTTCTGTATATCTTTTCTGGATTCTAAACGATATTATGGTAACTGGCAGGAAGTCTTTAAGAAATATATCTTGTGTTAATTGTTAATGTTTTGTCTATTGATCCATCATGTGAAAATGCTACTTATTTTCTCTTATTTTATTCTTAAGTCCTCAGGACTTGGTAGTCTAAGGAAATGGCGCTTATCTTCTGGGCCAAAGGCCGAAGGCTCAAGACCAACTGATCTATGCACAGTGCACTGCATGTCTTCCTTACATTCACATCTTACAATGTTAATACTTTTGGGGTTTGGAGAATCCCCTCCACAGTCTAAAGCTCATCTAGATGTAAGTCCCCTCTGTTAAAAATGGCTCCATCCTCCTCAGAAATAAACAAAATCCTTCTCAAAAGAAGATACATGTTACCCTCTGAGTGAGTTGAAGAAACCAGTAGGATTACATGACCATTAATGGAGTCATTAGGGAGAAAGGCCATTAAATTGTGGGTACATTGGAAGACCCATATAGTCAAAGTCAAAGTCACATTGCGACTGACGGTCGGTCAGTCAGTAAGTCTTGGTGTCAAGCCCCATTAATGGTCATGTAATCCTACTATGACTAGCAGGCTCATGGTGGAGGTATTCGACCCCACCTCCACATGGGTGTCTGAGACCCATATATATCTCTGTTTGCTTCATTTATAGGATGCTTGAACAAGAAGATTCATGGATCTGTTTATAGAATAAATGAGTATCAGGTAGGCATTTACTTGTCCTTGCATTGTGATCATTGTGATATACTGTGCATCCCCTTGTGTTTCAATCCTTTCATAATCCTGCACACTGAATAAAATGTAGTATCTTGGCAGTCACCTGGCTCCATGAAGTAGTGTCCTAGGTGTCAAAATCTTAAGTAAGCTGTAGCCTCACGGTCACATAGGATGTGTGAAGTGTTTACTTTAACTTGTGTGCTTACCAGTTCCTATAAAGAGTACATCATATGCCTTGCCACCAGGTGTCTTAATTTGTGGATCAACAGCAATCTGGGTGAAACGGTAACTGAAAAGTAAAACAGAAAAGATCTCATTGACCATTATCATAATCATCAATGCACAAATGCACTGTATTCATCTTCCCTTTGATAGCACAGCCATAAAATTACATCCTTGTGCATGTAAGCTTTTTATACACATTTTTTTACATTATCAGCAATGGACAAGTTTTGTTTTGCTGTATGAGCTCCTGCAGAGGTCATGGATTCTTAAAATGTTAATATTCTCCATTAAGATGGCATGTAAGGTCACTAATACCAAAATGAAAGATGTTATGTGGAGAAAGTTTTCTTGGATATTCATTGAATTAAATAAGAGGTTAGGTGCAGACAGTGATTTCAGCTTCAATACAAATAACTTTGGTGGTAGTGCAGTTAGTTAAATAGTATTTTTTTTTCCTTGGCACTACAGCCCCAGTGGGCCTAGGCCTACCTCCATGAACTTCCCCGTTCACTTCGGTTTTTCTAGACCTTACACATATGGTAGGACTCCTTGGGTGAGTGATCAGCTCGTCGCAAGGCCTTTACCTGTAGACAAACACAGAAAAACGCACACAAACGTCCATGCCCTGAGTGGGATTCGAACCCATGATCCCGGCTTCCGAGTGAGCGAAGACAGTGCATGCCTTAGACCGCTCGGCTACCGTGACCGGCCTAAATAGTACTTAGCAGTGATAATATAGTACAGACAACATCAATGAGCCACTGAGGCAGAACAGATGCACCTTCCACAGAATTGTCTATGAAGATTCAGAATTTTAGTGGAACCAACAAACCAAGAACCTATACACATTATAACCAGAAGACAAGCAATAGTTACATGTAGTCTATTTACATGTATGACAGGAAGTAGCAATTTAATTTTGTGTATTAGAATTGCATTTTAATTTATCTGTACAAATATCACAAATCTGTGGTGTGTCTACAAATATACATACATATACAAGTATACGAACTTTTGCACAGTATGTCATAAGTGTATCAGTGACTAACTTACTGAAAACTGGTACGGATAACTATGGGCTGGTGAAAAAATGAAGGCACAGATTCATCCATCAACGAATGTGTCTTAATGAAATTAAGAGTAAGATCTGGCAGCGTCCTTGAGTCATTGACACATTGTCCTGGCCTCGGATCAGGAACCTATTTGACAGAAAACCGAGTTAAAAATATTACAGAACAATGACTCTCATATGGTTCGTTCATTCAGGAAGATGAACATTAACATAATCAAAGTACTAATGTGTGAATAAGATCTAAAAGTCTGTGACAATAATACATTAACACAAACATTATTTTTCTGGACATCAGCCATTGTCTTGTATTTTTATCTAAAACATGGTTCTGTTTTTATTTAAAAACACAACATTTTAGAGACGGGATTCTATCTCCATTCTCATATTATTTTCCACTCATAGTGTCCATGTATCTGTAATATATAATATACGTCTATTTTCAACTGCAAAGACGTATCATTATTATATGAAAGTGCTATTGTTACATGTCTGTATCTCATTTCCTTATGTACTTGTGTGCCCCTTCATATGTGTGTTCCCACTAGTGGAGTGTATGTCATTTGTATCGGCATTCAGTGTGACTGTTCCCACTTGCATATTGTTATATCTCAGAAGCAAACCGCTAGATGGTATGCATGTGAGTGAGGAGCTTGGGACAGAGTAGAGCAAAGGCTGATGCATGTGCACATGGGCAGTTTCCATTATTCAAAATATCCAGTGGTAGCAGTAACAATACAATCCAAGAATGTGGAACAGGTGTAATTTTCTATTAGTATTTCAATTGTAAGACACAACATATATCTTTTCTGGGGGTTCTATGCTGCTATCTGTTGTAAAGTTCATGTAAAGTCTGAAATATGGAGTTGTTATGTGTCATTCACATAAAAGTTATTTTACTGATTTTACAAATGTGATATTTTTCCAAGGTACTCAATGTCTGCCCTTCTTTCCTGTCCTTGCCTTGCCTGAATTTGGCCTAGTAGGGCCAAAACCTGTAGCAAGAGATTGTGATTTTAATTTTATTTTATAGGATATATTCACTGCCATTACGATTTAAGAGAAGCAGTGTCAAGCACGCACTACCTTGTATGGATTTATGCCTCAATACTGACAGTCCTCTAAACCTATTACAAGAGGAAGTCACGAGAACACATTATTGTGCATCACTGTTCTCACCATCCATGTGTACTCATGTTATATAATGTACAACTTTCTAGCTACAAAATTACACTATTATTATTTGAACTGTGTACTGTGCAGATACAATTACAATTACAGATAATTATACCACAGACAAATTTCCTGTTATATCAATTGTTCTGCATGCATCTTACAAAATAAGGAACAGCTAGTTACAGAAGAAGATGAAATTTAAAATCAGTGGTGCAATACTTCCTCTACGCCAGTCAGAAAATTTAATTGAGTTCTATAGCTACATGGTCGAAAATTAACAGTTGATTTACTGCAGTAATTTCTGATACATGAGAAAACTTTGTCTTCTAGAGCAGTAAAATGCTCAACAAACAAAAACATAAGGGCATCAGGAAGTGTGGCTTGGTCACAGCATGAAGTTTTGCCACACACCCTGCAGCCACAGTGCTCTAGACACGCATTCAGAAGGCATTCAGTGCAAATCATGGATGTTCGTAGTTTTACTCAGTTTCTCCAGATGAATTCCACATATTTTTTTTTTTATTTAATTCATAGTATATTTACGGTCTATTCTCGATAATATGGAGTAATAAGTAAATTTGTCAATGAATAATCCGTCNTCTTGAGTAGAGAAGTCATCCACTGATGATACTCTGACAGGCCCTGTAGAGGAATGGTGATGGTTTTAATCTTCATCATCTGCAGGTTGTGGTAGGTCAGATGGCCACTGTTTCCTCAATCTTCTTCTTACAGTTGGTGCCTTGCTAATTCCTACAACTAGTCTCTTATTGTGTCCGAGTATACTTTGGTGATCTCTTCTATGACAAATGGAATTTGCAGATCATTGTGGATAGTAAAGTTGGAGACATACAAAGGTGCTTTAACTAGAGTGCAAGAATTTGGATTGAAGTCTTTGAAGTATTTTCATTTGATGGTTTTGTATAGCCCCATAGCTGTATACCATATGACCATATGGGTTTTATTATGCACTTATATAGTAGAAGTTTGTTTTCTATGAATAGCTTGGATTTACAGCTCAAAAGCCATGACATTTCTCATAGTTTTAAATTTAACTTCTGATGCTTTGTTTTGATGTGTTTCTGCCATGTCAGTTTTTGGTCAAGGTATAATCCCTAGTATTTTACTTTGGTTTGAACCAGTGTTTCCATATTATGGATGGTAACATGCAGGCAAGTCATACGATTCATGGTGCATGTAACTTGCACTGATTTTGTCTGGTTTATTTTTATTTTCCATTTGCTGTACCATTGCTGGAGGAGGTTAAAGTGATGTTGAAGATGCTGCGACATTACTACGGCTGAGCATAAACATATAACACAACTTTCTTCTTCCAAATCCTTATGTGTAACCACATAGAGGTTACAGGACTGGAAGGAAAAGGTAAAGTGCCATATTTGAAGGTATTACAAGTATGATTATTTTGTAGTTCACTTAGAATAACTGAGAAAAACTACAGAACAGCTCAGTCAGGATAGCCGGTAACTTAGACAAGATTTGAGCCAGGTATTTTCTGAATACAGATGCAGAGCTCAGTAAAGTCATTAAACAATTTATGATCCAATTAATCCTGTGACTTTTCAGTGACTATTTTCACATACAGTTAGGTCCATCTTTCCAAGTAAATTGTTTCTAAAAATATGATTAATTGGAAATAAAACTGATACAAATTAATCTTAGCATAGTCACTGGGGTCTTTGCAATCACATGATGCATTGCAGCTTCATGAGAAACACAATTTCTGCTACTACCTTGGCACTCTGGACTGGCAGCCAGTTGGAGTTAAGTTGTGCTTGCTCCTTGAAGTTACCCTCGAACGTATCTGTGATGTCCTGAAGCGCAAATGCACATACTGCTGAGCCACTGATGCTATTGGGAGGTGTTGTGAAAACTCCATAAATGAGCTGTGCTGTCACAGACCCATATATGCCCTCAATCAGCTCAGTAGTCGATTCTGTAGGAACAAAACAATGATTCATCTTATAACTGAGTCTCTGGTAGTAGAACCAATGGTTCAGTATCACAGAAATACAAAACTCTGCCACTGGCCATGATCCTGAGCCACTTTCATAAAACTTATGCCATTATAATCTATTTTTTAGAAGTATCATAATACCAGAACTAACCTGTCACCCTCACTAGTATTTCTGAAATAAAGGAATTCTCTCTCCTTTCCAAGAAAACAAATTTGACATTAGTCTGGCTCTCTACAGACTGCTGTTCCAAATATATTTCATTAAGACTGATCATTTTTTCACTGCAATGAGGTTCAAACACAGTAGGATGAAAAGTAGATACGGCAGACTGCTTAGAAAGCTTTATAAGCCTTGAAATAAGCTTAAAGAATCTATGATACACTATTATAGAAAGCCAGAAAAACTGTGTATTTGTTAAGCCCCACTTTTGTACATCCCTTACAATAAACTACAGTGAGGTACAAAACTGGTTGTAAATTGAAACAGCATTCTACAACAATCTAATTTTCCCTTCATAATGCTTATAACATTAGAGGCTCAGATGGTTAATCTATTCTGTAACTTTGTTCGATAGGAAGCTAAACTTTTTCCAGGTTGAATTTAAATAGTCCTGATGCTGTGGAATGCTTTCTTAATTACAAAGTCTCTAAAATAATTAGGTGAGAGAAACCAATTACTGCTGGATAAGGGGCTTGAAACGTAATTTCAGCTGAACAAACAGTTCTATCTTCTATTGTATTATTACGTTACAGTGAAGTAATTACTTGGCTGAATAAAGAGAATGAGCAAAGTACATTTCTATCCCAGAGTTTTCAGCAGATCAAACATTCTACGAAGTCGGTCATTAATTATGAAAAATTAAAATTCAAGTAACTATGTACCAGTAATAGTATTAGTAATAACACTGAAGCTGATAATAATTTGCTGAATATACAACTCAAGCATGGAAGAACACTATCCTGCAAGACAGTTAAAGGTTAAGTTCGTTTCTTTCATTTCTCAATGCAGACATTACTGGTACATGTAATAAAGAGCATCAGTAAACGGCGTCATGTTTAGGACAGAATGGAAGGTGTGTACTTTGACTTTTAATGCTTTAGATACTATGAAGAAAACAGTTTGTTGAGAAACAATGCCTATTTCTACTCTGCACAACTTTGGTACCTGAAAATATAAAATCTTCTCGCATCCCTTTACATTTAAAGCAAACAATATATGCTTCTTATCGATGGAAATTAGTAGTTACTTTGGGAACATGGAGGAAAAAAAAAACATTTCTCTTACAAAATAAACTCAGCATTGAAAAGGTTACTCCAATAATTCTTTATAAGTCTGTAACAGTAGTTAGAGGTATATTTAATATACATAATTGGGGGGGGGGGTTCTGAAGTTATGACTTTATAAATCAACAGTCACACATAGGGCTTCATCTTCAGATTCCAAAGCAAGAAATTTATATACTGTAGATGCTTTCAGGAATCAGCAGTATTGAATGAACTTCTTGAACTTATGTTTTATTCTGATGAGTGTGACTCATTTTATGTGCTTACAGAAAAGTTAAAATAACAGATTCTGGTAAAAAAGATAAATTTGTCCCTGTGCTTAACTAATTAAGCACTATGCCATGATGGAATATGGGGGAATGGATGTATAAATCCACATTTTTTTACCTCGGCATTAGCTGGAGGTGAGTGGTCAGCTTCACGCCCTGGCCGCTTTACCTCCGGGGAAACTGCCCCTTGTACCCTTTGGATAGGAGATTGGGTGGACCCTAAAGCCGGTCTGGATAACGTGGAGAGGAGAAAGCTCTTGATTCTACCGGGACTTGGAACTCCGACACCTCAGCAAGTGCTGCATTCAAGCAAATATGGATCTATACATCCACTCCCCCTTACGTCTTCATGGCATAGTGATTAATTAGTTAAGCATAGGGACAACTTTACCTTAGCCAATGGTTATACCATGTTGAACACACGGTTCTCGTCTTTCCCTTCATACACAATGGAGCAAAGGTAATCCTTGTGTTGCTCATGAAGTGCCATTGCAAGATTAAGAAATTTGGGGCTGGTCTGCACATACGACACACGTGATACATAAGTGGACCAGTGTTTCTTCGTGAAAAATAAATTCCCAGTGTTACGTGAGATTGATCGTGTATAGATTTTTGATTAAATGACTGATGAAGAAAAATCAGATGGGCATTTTATGTAAGATAATGTGATGGTGTACTTTGCGAACAATTCTGTGGATGCATTAGATGAAGTCTTCAGTGCACAAGTCATATTATAGCCTCTGCAATCACTTGATTTAAATCCTCGTGACTTCAATCTGCGGGAAACGCTGGAATAAAACGTGCAAGTGAAAAATCAACACTCTTTTCAAGGACTTCAAGAAAATACTTGGCATGTAGTTTCTGGTATTCCTGTACTGCAGCTTCAACTTGTGCCTAGAAACATATTTTCATAATAGGAGGCAGGCACAGTAGCAGAGGGTCATCACTTTCACGCTCATCTATAAATCAAGGCAAGATAAAGTACAGCGGACAAGTGGGCCGTGAATTATCAGCTACTGCAGTGCGTCTGGGTGAGAAGAGCGCCATGTTAGCTGCGGGAACCAGTCTAACGATAAACTGTACATTCTGGGAAAGGGCCCTTGCTGAAAAACTGGACAAACAATTTCCCAGCTTGCACAGAACCTGTAGGGTGATTACTATGTTCACAAAAGCCCTCAGTTGAAACCTATTCTGAACTGGTTACGAGATCGTGTTGCAAAGTAATGACTCCTATTTTTCTTCCACCCAACGGGAATAGATATTTAACTGCAACAAAACAGGTACTTATCTTGAATTATACTTCGTAATTTTACGCAATTAATTCTCAACAGAATCATTTGTGCATCGACTCACTGTGAAGTCGCAGTACCCCTACCTAACATTTCATGTGATGAGTCTGTATATCAACTGGACCTGTACATGCACCATCGTGTTAGAAACATGGTCGGACACGCCATGCGCCATGTGATATGCGCTATAGCATCTGTGGTGCAATGGTAGTCAATGCCTGTTCCACTGCTTTGCGCAAATCGTCATTGTTGTGACAGCGACGGGCAGCCACTTCTCCCTTGATAATGACCCACAAAGAGTAGTCCTGCGTGGCAAGATCAGGACAATGGCAACCACGGCCAAACCAGAGGCTCGGATAATGTTCGTTCAAAATATTGGATCTGAAACTTTCAAGACGATTGACGTTGATAAAATATTCTTCTGGCTGTCAACACTCCGTCATTTTACTCCGCAAGCGAACTATACCGACCGAGCGACCGCCGCTTGTCGACGAAGTTTAGTGCCAACTTTTGTGGATAGAGGCTTCTGGCTGTCAGCTGAGTCAATTGGTTAAAAATTACCGACGTTTCAGGGACCGTCTCCGTTCCCTGTCATCAGGGAAAGTTAACATATGAATAAGAATAAAAACGACAAAGAATAAAGAAGAGGAAGAAAAGAAGAAGGAGAAGAGAGGAATACGAAAAAGCGGACCAAGAAAGAGATGAGAAGGTAAAGACAATGAAATGGATGGCAAGATAACAAGCACAAATTATAAAATAAGAGAAAGTGTATATGATGACAAGATGCAAAGAACACGGTTGAGTGAGGTCGCCTGCATACCTGCCTTCTTCAGAAAACGAAAACATCGCAGAAACTGACTTCTCCCTCAAGCCCTGCATCTGGAAGGGATAAGTTTGTGCTTTTGGATGATGGGTCTAAAACGCTGAAACTCGTCTGGTTTGATAAAAACATCCTTAAACGGAAGGGATTAAAGGAAATATAATCAGAATATCTGTTTACTTTCTCTTGTCCGAGTTACCAAACAGGCCCACATACTATACGTACGTATCTCATTGAAGTAGAAGGGGAAGTCCCCTGTCACCGAGCAGTTGAGACGGGACTTGAGGAAGGAGGTCCAGCGGTTGCGGAAGCGGTGCGGTCCTCCCCGGTCGTGCTTGCAGACACGCGCCACCCGGGAATACACTGCCTGCAAGCAACAGATTCAACACAACTGAAGCTAGTTATTCTGTACAAGAAAATCACACAAATTCAATGGTCACTTTGTTTTGGTAGAACACCTAAACAAAGTGACAGGAGGTTGGAGAAAACTGCATATTGAGTAGCTTCATAACTTGTACTCTTCTCCAAGTATAATTAGAATGATCAAGTCAAGGACGGTGAGGTGAGCAGGGCATGTAGCACGAATGAGGAAGACGAGGAATGCATATAGGATATTGGTGGGAAAGCCAGAAGGAAAGAGACCACTAGGAAGACCAAGGTGTAGGTGGGTGGACAATATTAAAATGAATCTTAGGGAGAGAGGATGGGATGGTATGGATTGGATTGATCTGGCTAATGATAGGGACCAGTGGACGGTTCTTGTAAACATGGTAATGAAACTTTGGGTTCCATAAAATGCTCGGAAATTCTTGAGTAGCTGCAGATTTGGCTTCTCCTCAAGAAGGGCTCAGCTCTGTAAGTAAGAATGAGGTTACCTAGCCTAATTTATATACAGGAGCATATAAAAATGGATGTCGAAGCGTCTCTAAACCTACTCACACATGCGCATCCAACCACGAAATATTGAATTGGTTCATATATTACTGCCCGTGTTCAAAGTTAATATGTTGGGGTGGTACATCTATCGCTAACCATGTAACACAATAGAACGGAAATAGCACAGCTGCATTTTGATTTCTACAGCATCTCTGTCGTAATTCCGTAAATTCACTTCTGCGAATTAGTTGCTTGGAATGCCAACTTCAAGTTCTATACAGAAAGAAATTATTCCCTGACCCGCAAATCAGCTCAGTTAATGCATGCATATTTCACTAAATTCTCGTTAGTAGAAGATGTCTTTGTATACACTCTCGACGGAAATTAGAATGAATTCTAGACAGTCATCCACAGTGCATAACGCGTCTGATTTTCATGCGGAAGAACTATGGACCGTGTCAAAATACGTCAAAGAACTAGAGAGACAAAACGTAAAAATGGCATTCCAGACTGCCACGCAAGCGGATTCTTAATATAAATTAAAGTGATTGAAATATACACCTAGAATTAGTCGTAGTATATAGGCAAAAGTGAGTTAAGTACATCATGTCTGATCAGAAATCTGTTAAAGCACAATGTACAAAGACAAAAGTTAATTCAGGCTCATAAAGAAAGTCACCCTCAAAATGAATTAATAGGAATGAAAATAATACAAGGGGTTGGAACAGGGTTATAGGGCTCTGAGGGGGTATAGTACTCACCTGAAGAGTATCCCAGTCAACATACGTCCAGAAACCAGTGCCTCCTGAGATACGGGCGATGTTCCTGCGGTCTCTGAATCACATGCGCTGTGTGGTTCCCACGCATTTCAACACAACTTCCGGCTCTGCGTCGCACAGAGGTGCGCACTCTGTCGAAAATGCCTCGTTTCACTCGAATCTTTGACAGGCAGTCTCTACTCATTCTGTAATAACTCTAAGTCACTGATCGACGCAGAATACACCAAAACTCAAGAAGATTAAGGTCACGGGATCGTGCAGGCCAGTTGACGGGCCCTCCGCGTCCTGCCCACTGCTGACCGAAAGTCTGGTTCAGGTGCTGTCTGACAGTGCGGAGAAACTGAGGTGGTGCCCCGTCATGTACGAACCATATGTGGTGTTGTTGGAGAGGCACATGTTCCAAGGGCACTGGTAAATCATTCAGCAGAAAACGTCTGTTAGGCAACACAACCGGTCCTAAGGGTTGACTACTTAAGGTGCCCGCCCACACATTGGCTCGCCCGTATCTCAGCAGGCATCAATTTCTGGACAAATGTTGTCTGAGATGTCTTTGCTCATTTTAGCGAATGCTACAAAAGGCAAAGTTGTCCCTATGCTTAATTATTTAAGCACTATGCCATGAAGGAGTATGGAGAAGTGGATGTATAGATCCACATTATCTTGACCTCGGCACTACTTGGAGGTGCGTCTATTCACTCACTCACTCACTCACTCATGGAGCTGAGCCGTTCTTGATAAGCTTCCAATTGTGCAGCTACTCAAGGGCTTTCTAGCACTTTATGGAACCCGAATGATCATTACCGTGTTCACAAAAGCCCTCCATTGGTTCCTATCCTGAGCCAGATCAATCTAATCCATACCATCCCATCCTATCTCTCTAAGATCCATTTTAGTATTGTCCACCCACCTACGTCTTCGTCTTCCCAGTGGTCTCCTTCCTTCCGGCTTTCCCACCAATATCCTATATGCATTCCGTCTCTCACCCATTCGTGCTACATGCCCTGCCCATCTAATGGGAGGTGCGTCTGTACCCCCTTAAAACCTGTAACCCTTTATAACATACTGTAGAGTCTTACGTTGTTAGTGTGTAGTACTCGGGGTGAAGCTGGAAGCAGTTGAGTTCTTCCAAAACGTTGGTAACTGCCTACCAGACTACAAGGCGCCAATTCGCATAGGAGAGGGATATACATAGCCATCACTTGGGAACGTCAATCTCACAGATGGACTTGGCCCGTTACTCGTGCATTTCACGCACGCGCACTTCGCGCAATTGTCTATCAGACTCGCGTGTGAGGAGCTGTGTTACCTCCCGCAACACAGTTCCCATTGCCGCGTCAATGCAATTCGAACCACGTCATGAAGACGAAAGGGGGAGTGGGTGTATAGTTCCACCATTCTTGGAGAAAAGTGGTCAGCTTCACGCCCAGGTCGCTTTACTCCAGGGTAAGAGCCCCGGTACCCCTGGACACAACGCTGGGTGGGCCCCAGAGCAGGTCTGGATGCTGTAGAGAAGAACCCCGACTGTGCACCCCGTAGCGACTTGTCCTAAAACAACTGGCACTTCCTGTTATCACCTGTTGGATTTGACTTTCTCACAGCAATTACTAGGAAGAGCGCTGTCCTCTAGGATGTGCCACCGTGCAGTCCAAGTTTGCTTACGTTTGTATGAACTTACTGCCTCCATCTTCAGGGTTGAAGAGTACGCCAAGTAAGAAACCAGGAAGAACCAGGAAGCAAGGACAGCAAGCTGCGCACACAAAACTTGGTTCAGACGTACGCTCGCAAAGGCGCATGCTCTTTGCTGTTCCTTGCGTGGCTTACTCTTCGACCATGGTGATGGAGTCAAGTATGTTTCTCCGAAACGTCACTGAACTTCTACCGGACTACACGCCATCACATCACAGAAGATCATACTTATCCTGTTATCACTTCTAGCATGTACAAATCTCTCCAACAGCAGCACTGCACACATGAGAAGACAGCTACATAAAAGTAAAGGTAAAAGCTACTCCTGTAACAGGCCGTGGAGCCATATAGGGTTGTGAGACGCCGAGGCTCCCACATTTTCTCTAGATAATCGGCTCACAGATGGCGGTGAGGTTGTCAGCCTTACGCGCTGGGCGCCCTTTGCTGGAGCAATGAGGCATGATGAATAGTAACATGCTACTTAATTCTTATATGGCGTCAATGAAATGGGCAGATGACCATGAGTGATGAGGAGAGAAGAACTGAAAAGAAGATGGTCTTTCCCGATTTTAAGGTATATTCCTGGATTCGACTGGAGGGAACGAATAAAAATAATAAAAAAATTTAATCAGGATTCAAACTGGGAACCTCTAATATCGAACAAGATACCTATTTCTGTATTAGCCTACTCAGGGCTATTTCTCTATTAACGCTGGAGGAAATATTGTCTGCATAAGAGAAATATTGCAGCAACATCAGCCATGTCTCCGTTTCCCTGCGCAGTTTCTGGGTAAACAAGCCATTAAATGCAAATGTGACGTCACCACATAGACTTACACTTCACAGTGACTGGTTTCCTTACTTTCGTGGGGCTTGCTCACGATATTCACATACACGTTCTTTGCCGCTCCAAAAGTGTTTCTCCGTGTCACATTTGCTTCTGCTCATGCATAAACGCGAAACTGGAGAAGATAGCGCCTTCTTATAGAAACATTCGGCTCTATCGCAAACAATCAGGCCGGATACAATGTGATGTTAACCGCTACAGCAGAACGGGCACTGCAATCTGCTTGAGTGCTCCTCAATCACTGCGAACAATCATGATCGAGAAAGTTATTTTCTTCGAAAATTGTCTTCATTAGAAAATCCATTATGCTTTTGCCATGCTGCTGCAACGAGAGTTAAAACTTGGAATTTTAAGTTCTTAAAATATAACGGTATGTGAACGCCTTGAGTAAGCTGACGGAATCTACGGAACAAGAAAAGGTTGCAAACAGCTTGCTTATGTTGTATACCATGAGCAAGTGAGGCATACAATAAAAAGTGAGGCAGTCACCCTCAGTGGAATAAGGTAGGGTTGCAAACAGCTTGCTTACATTGTATATAACAATATGTACGAAGAGGGCACCATACACCTGAGATACGCCGTTCGTTCGTCCGTCCGTCCGTCCGATTTACAACGCCCATACTTCTGTCTCGCCGGTCACGGTAGCCGAGCGGTCTAAGGCAGTGCTTCTCAACCGCCGAGCCACGGCCCAGTAATAGGCCCTAGCATCAACATACTGGGCCGCGAGAGGCTCTTCTGGAATTTTGTCTTTTTCATTTTCTAAGCATTTTTCATGAATAAATATTTTAATCTGTGTAGCTAATGTCAGTGCCAAGCCGCATATTTTTAAACATGGAAGTATTCATGAATGATCGGGAATTTTCAGATATCCAAATCTTTCAACATTCCGGAAAGGCAATGCCGATGTTTATGACGTCATAAAAATTGTCTGCAAGCCGATTACAACAATGGGCGGTATACCCTCTGTTCTCAGAACTGAGCGAAATAATATCTGTGTTTCAAATGTCAGTGACCAATCAGCAAGGAAGTATAAAGAAAATGTTTCCACTGAATTTGAAGATCAAGGCAGCCTGTATCAAGTTCTCAAATCTAGTAATACTGAATACTGTTTCTTCACAAGTTCGCATTGCAGTGTGTAAGTGCTTGTTTCGAAACCTGAGTGATTTAAATTTTAATATG